TCCTGGAGTCCTCTCTGACATTCTGAAATAGGGTTGGTTCCGAATTTGATCCAGGACTTTGGGAATTGGGATTCGGAACACAGCTGTTACTGCTTGCGTGGCTCTCAGTTCTGCCTCTTGCCTGCTTGTTCCATTGTTACCTCGGCCTCGCTTCGGCGAGCCGTTTTCTTTCTCCTGTTTTATCTCCCTGGTTCTCAACGTGTCTTCTTCGACTCTAGCGTACTTCTCGATTCTTGCCAAGAGCTCCTCCATACTTTTTGACAATGTCTTTGCCAAAGACTTTCGTAGTGGACAGTTGTCTTTCAAGCCGTTCTTAAAAGATACGACTACCACCTCTTAATTACATTTGGGTATTCGATTGAACACCTCATAATATCTTTTTGCATAGGCCCTAAGGCCTTTATCCTTGCTGATCTTCAGAGCCATCAATGCGTCCACCCTTAATGGCTGCAGCTTGTTTGTCACAAACCTGGCCACAAACATCTCGGCCAGGCCTTCCCAAGTCTTCATGCTTCCCTTTGGTAGTTTGTGGAACCAATCTGATGTAATCTCCCCGAAGGATGAGGGGAACACTTTGCAGAGCAACGGCTCGTTCCCACTATACAATGCCATTGAGTTCAAATATAGTCCAACGTGGAAGTTGGGGTCTGACTTTCCGTCGTATATTTGAAACCTCGGTATATTGAATCTCTTCGGCGCCTCAAACCTGTCTAATTCTACCGAGAATGGTGTCCTCGGCTTATTTGGGGAGGTTACCTCGGCGTAGGCATTCTGTTGCTTACTTTTGAGGTAATCTCTTAAGTCTTCTTTGCTCTGCCCAGGAGCTCGGCTATCCTTTGACTTTAGTCTTTTCGATATACTGCTCTCGGCCTCGTGGTGAGCCCTTTTCGACCTTTCTCCGTGAGTTGTGTCGAAGCACAATGCTTGCCCCTGAATATGCCGATCTCCTTTGGGGTCTGCCTCCCTTGTGTGATGCGTCCTCCGTGATTCTTCTCTTCTTGATCCTCTTCGTCCAACTTCCCTAGAAGGTCGGTGAGAGTGTCTTTTGTTTCCGTTGTGCTGAGGGGCTATGGAGATTGTTTTCTTCCCTCCCTTCTGTGTATAGGCCGCTAGAATCGGCGTGTCCTGCGGCGGGAATGGTGGCTGCATGACGTTATTTTGCATCATGAAATTGACGACCGACTGTAGGTTTGCCAATTTGTATGCCATCTCTTTTACCTCTTCGTCCCTCCGTAGGCACCTATCCTTCCAAACCTGGAGGTTGTCTTCGTTGTAGTACCTGCTTTGATTAGGTTTCTTTGGTGCGTCGCTAGTCTGGCCGACGTCTTTCGCTCCGTGATTCTGGTCACGAGTTTCTGCGTTCGACCTTTCTCCTTCGCCATCAAGGTCAATAGGTCTCTCACTCCCAGTATGAGTGTCGTCCCCAATCTTTTCCTTCTGTCCGTTACTGGCCATCTATTCTACTTTCGTTCCTACAAACAGTGCCAAATTGTGTGAGTGATTTTCCGGTCACACTGCCCAACTCAGTACTCAACTGGAGAACACTGGCAGAATAGATGACACCAGGCTAACCTGTAACAGAAAGAGAAGATTCCAGCAGTGGTTCGTCCACCCGGGGGCACTCCGACGATCAAGTGAGTATATCTCTCAAAGATAATCAATAATGCTAAACTCAATGTTCAAAGCATAAAATTGCGTACCTTACACCTACGGGGGTGCCTCTCTTTTATAGTTACCTCAATCCTAATCTCAATAGAAGCCTGACTTCTATAGATTCCTATTCAGTACTTACTTTGGACTCCTTCAGAGATAAAGATAAACTCCCTAAGAGCTTTATCCTTATCTTGGCTAAGTCTCCTATTTATTCTAGGATTCTTGTCCCTTATATTTTATCCGATTATCTCGGATTCCGATATCTTCGGAGATAACCTCGGCTTACTCGAGATCACCTCGGCGTCATGACCCTGACACATGGCACCTCGGCTAACATATCGGCGTCACCTTACCTTGTGTCGGTACTCAAAAATATATCCCCACATAAAGAAAAACTCATCAATACATATTATAATTACAAAGTTATCATTGTCACAATATTTTATAATTTTTTTAATAGAAATTATGAGATCATTAAAAAAATATATACACATAGTGATATCATTATAGATTTATGTATATTTTCAGATTCAAAGACTTATCAAAATGATTTATTAATTTTTAAATAAATGTTACTGTCATATCAATTTGATGCGATTTTGTATATCAATTTTAATTTGGCAATTATTAGTTTAACTTAAATTTTAGGGAAAATTGTTATAAAAAAAAAAATCTAGAATTTGACCCTTATATCAAAATAAATCTTAAATTTTTAATTTTATCAATTCAAATCCTAATCTTTTGATTTATTTTAATAACTAAAATATCATTTTTTTTTGTTAGTTTCATTTAAAGAAAATAGATAAATAGTTTAGATTACAAATAAAAAACTTAGAATTTAAATTGACAAAACTAAAAACTCAGGTTTTATTTTGTTACAAGGGTCAAATTTTGAGAATTTTTTTTTTCAATTTTATTTTACTATGTATTGTTTCAATTTAAATAATATAATCCTTATTTTTTAAATTTAGTTTGAGTTTTGTCATTCTATCTACTTTCAATTAATTGTTTTATATGTACATTTCAAGAGATTGATTAGTATTTTAAAATTATTAATTTTTACCTTTAACTTGAACAGAATGTTCAAATTAAAATTAAATTTAAAGTATAGAATCAAATTATTTAATTTAAAATAATAATGATCAAAGTTAAATTTAAATAAAATTATAAGGTTTAAACGGGTAATTTATCCTTTTCTTTTCTTATCAATATCAAATCCTTTGAAGTCTTACTTTTCTTTTTCCTTTTTCCACCCAATTTGGTTGGCTCATCTCTTCGCCAATCATTGTTTGGCTGCTAGAGAAAATTAATAAAGTGTGAAATTGGCAGAAATGACCTTCTCACCTACTGTTGTTGTCTATGTAGACATTTTAATTAGAGGGTTCGTTCGGGGTGGGTTTGCTTTTTGGAGTTATTTTAGTAGGGGATTAAAAAAAATTTATTTAGGGAAGGATTTCTTTGATTTTTATTAATTTTTTATAAGAGAAAAAAATATAATAATTATGAATTGAATTTGATATTTTATTTTATTAAATTAAAAAATTTATTTTATATTACTATAACTATGTTAGTCAAAAAAATCTCAACTTTTAACCTCACAAACGAGCTCAGAGGGCTTTGTTGTCATATAACATACAAAAAGCAGGACGGTGGTAGTTTGATTAGATCATTGAGATGACTTCGTACTGACCTTATCGTTTTAATATTCCTTAGTTTGCGTTTGTTTATGGAAAATGACTCATAATTGATGTATTTGGAAGTTGCTATTTTGTCCTTCTAAAAAAAAATGTCTACATTTTAAAAGTTTATGAAACAAATAAATTATCATTCTCTAAATTATTTTCTCTCCCATTCTGATAATTGTAAATAATTATTTATTTATTCTAAATTTTGTACTATTTTGTAATGACTATTGAGTTTCTTACACGGGGAATTTCTTTTAAAAATTTTTGATATTAAAAATTTTTTTGTAAAATAAAGGATATATAATATTTTTATATTAGTTAAAAGCTCTCAACATTTTCACAAAAAAAATTTGACTAAAGGAAATTTCATCCCCAACTTATAAATCTCTAAATCGGGGGCGAAATTTTTCTAAGTCAGGCAAAATTTCTTTTAGTCAAATTCTTTATGAAAATATTGAGGGACCTTAAATAATAATAATAAAAACATCTTAAATCTCGCCTACTACACAAAGTTGGTAAGGGATGTTTCACTAAGGGCTGGTTTGGCACCCCAAAAATTCAAAAAGCTAAAAAGTTACTAAAAAAGTTAAAAAGTTATCACTATTCACCAAAATAAAATATAAAAAAATTAATTTTAAACAAAATTATTACAAACAACTCTGCCGTCCCCATAGACACAGAGCTAACTTTTTTGAAAAAATTGCACAGGCGAGGTGCACAACATAACACAACACGGTACTGGTTCGACCCATGGAGACCCATCACGGGTTCTGTTTTCATAATTTGAACCGTTTAATGTATAGAACTCGTCGAGTACTATATATTTGTAAAAAATCACGTTGATCGGATATCCCTAACTACATGATCAAATCAATTTTGTATAAAAAATGGATTGTGTTATAGTTAATGGTTAAAAAAATTAATCTGATCAGATAGCTATCGATATCTGATCAACGTGATTTTTTACAAATATATAATACTCGATGAGTTCTACACATTGAACGGTTCTGATTAGCAAAACGGGATCCGTGGTGGGCTCCTATGGGCTAAACAACACCGTCCAATTCAATGTTCATAAAGAAAGGAACTATCTCGTAGTCTATACTCTGTGCACGCTGCCCCTTAGGACATCTCACCGCACTGCCTATTATATCTCAATCTTCTCCTATACACTAATTTATATAATTTTTTAATACACATTTTTCGTAAAAAGTAAAAAAATTATTCCAAACAACAACCTTTTTTTTCTCAACTATCTAATCTAAAAAATCAAAAAATATACTTTTGAGGACATCCCAAACAACCCTAATTTTGTCTTCTAAACTATACATTGTTGAATTCTAATTGTTTGATTTGATATAATTTCTTCACATTTGAAATTTTTTCCCAAAAAAATCTAATCGTGTTCATTTATCTCACACACCACACACGCACACGCGCACGCGCACGCACGCACATATATACATATATATATATATATATATAAAGTTTTGTGGGGAAATTCTTGAAAATATCATTAAAGGACTTTACAGGCTTCATAATTCTTACATTCTGACCGAGGTTATTTTTGTCCTTTGACAAGTCTATTAATTACTCAAGTCTTCTATCTTTAGTGCTCACTTTAAAAATAACTAAATTTCATTGTCAAATTGGAGAAGAAATTAAATATAAATAAAATAATGTTGAGTAGAAGAGGAGGTAGCGACCTCTTCTCTTCTCTCGTCTGTTTGATGCTGTGTTCTTGAGAGGGAGTGAGAGAGAGATATTTCCAACCTGTAAGCCTCTATTTTTTAAAAATTATTTTTATATTTTTGTTGTTTGCCTATCTTTGTTTGCAGAAGGCGATAGCAGAGAAAACACTCACTGCAAAGAGCAACAACAAAGAGAAAGAAAAGGAGAGAAAGAGAGAGACAGAGATAGAAACGACAACAGACAGAGATAGAGAGAGAAGAATTCACGAAGCCTTTCAATCTCAGATAAGAGAAAACGATGTCTGAGAGCTTTGCACTCTCTTTCACCCTGCAACTCTAAGAGGTACATGAATAAAGCTGAGAAAATAAAAATAAAAAACAAAGAAAATACCCAGTTGATGCCTTTTCCTTTTAACCTTTTTATTTTTTTTTAGTTTGTTTCTATATTACTACAATTTTTTGTGATGTATTTTTAATGAATAACTGAAAAATTTATAATGGGTACGTATTGTTTGTTTTGCTTGTCTATGCCTCCGATCCATCATTAAATTGAGCAGCTAACAGAGAAAGAAGTGGGTATTGTTTGGCTGAAGACAGAAAAGATGATGATGATGATGATGAATAAGAAGAAGAAGACACTGCTAATATGGGAATAATAGCAATTTATTGCATCTCATTCAAAGGGTCACAACCTTTCAATTCATCAAATCTGAGACAACCCCAATTTTGCAAATTCTATGTCCCAACAAGACTACCACCACCAAAGCATCTTCAATTTCTCGAATGGGTTCGAGAGAGCACAGCAAGAACAGCAGATCAGGAGAGATAAACTGAGGGCACAAGGATTCGAGCCGCCGCCGCCATTGGTGGCCATAGAAGATGAAGTTTCCGGTGGAATTCCGGTTTACGAGACCGCAGGGATGCTGTCAGAAATGTTCAATTTCCAGGCCGGGGCCACCACCGCCGCCACACAGTTGTTAGAAAATCAGATATCACAGAATTATGGGAACACAAGGCCGCCACCATCGCCGCTGCCTCCACCGCCACCGTCGGTGGAGGCGAGGGTGAGCGGTGAGTGGTACCGGCAAGGGATGGTGGTGGGTGGGGGTTTGGGACCGATGAGTGATTCAAAGAATCAAAACATTGTGAACAACCATCATCATCATCATCAGATTTCAAGCATGAATGCGGACTCAGCAGCTGCCATGCAGCTTTTTCTGATGAACCCACAACAACAACAACAACTACCGAGGTCGCCTCCTTCACCATCTCAATCTCATCATCATCATCCTCATGAAACTTCGTCTACACTTCACATGTTGCTTCCTAATCCAAACCCATCTGCGTTTCACAACAACCAAATTGGTCTATCGTCTTCGTCATCGTCCCAATTCACATGGGTTCCCGATGGTGGCCATGAAAGAGGGACTGGTGGAGGTGTGGTGGAAGGCCAAGGGCTGTCGCTATCGTTATCGTCGTCGTTGCAGCACTTGGAAGCGGCGAAAGCTGAGGAATTGAGGATGGGAGAGGGTGGAATTATGTTCTTTAATCAAGGAGGAGGGGCTAGTTCTGATTATCAGTACAAGAATTTGGGTGGTGGTTCTGACCACCACCAGGTTCATGTTGGATTTGGGTCATCTCCACTTGGAGTGGTCAATGGTTTGAGAAATTCAAAGTATGTCAAGGCTGCACAAGAATTGTTAGAAGAGTTTTGTTGTGTGGGAAGGGCTCATTTCAAGAAGAATAAGTTTGGAAGACAAAATACCAACAACCCTAATCCTAATCCAACTAGTAGCGCCGCCGCCGCCGGCGGTGGTTCATCTTCCTCAAAGGATCTTGGTCCTTTGTCGGCCGCAGATAGGATTGACCACCAGAGAAGAAAGGTCAAACTATTGTCCATGCTTGATGAGGCATGTACTCTCTCTCTCTCTCTCTTTAAGAGTCAAGGTCCAATCATTTTGGCATGCTTATTAATCCAATTAATTTTGAAATCTAACCAGGGGGAATAGAAAATTTCCGGCCAGTTTCCGGGAAAATAATTTATAATTCCAGGAAAGAGAAAAGCCGGCTGGTGAAATAGGGTTCCATAGATTTTGCTTTCTGATTTCATACAATATTTTTATATGATTTAAATATATTTTTTAATAGCACTGATTCGCTTGGTGGGGGGTGTTTGGGTTTGGGTAATACATTGGATCTTGTTTTTGGTGAAAACATCTATTTGGGGTAAGTAAAGTGTGTCGAGTAATAAGAAGCTCTACGTTACGTGTGATTAGAAAGATAGCCAGTACTATTGTAGGAAAAATAACAATTTATATTTTAAAAATTAATTATAAATTGGTGATAATTTTTTTTTGATAAATATGTAATAATTTTGTAAAAGTATTACTAACTATTACTTTTTTCAATATTGTAAGCCACAACAACAATAAAAATGACCATATAGGGTTGTTAAGAATGATGGTGCTCCAAGGCTTCCATGCCCATCAAAGTAGAGCATTGGAGAGAAAGCCATTTAAATTAGGTGGTTTTTTTTATAAAAAAAAACAAAAAAAAATTTAGAATATAAGAAGAAAACAAAATTTTGATGAATACGGGATGTTTTTCACCTATTTCATTGATTTTTTTAAAAAATTAATCTATTTTCAAATTAATTTTCATCTCAATTTCAATTCTACACAAAGTTCACAGAACATTTGTTAGCATTTGTTTTTTATTTATATTTTTTCAGTTGTCTTGTGTGTAACCCCCCCTTTTTTTTAACAAGTTTTTTATGATGTTGTTAAAGAGTGCCTAATAAACTTCAAATTATTGTTATATTCTACAAAAGTGCCTGTCATAAAAAGTGTATAATTTAAACTTCCATGGCTAATACTTTTAAATATCAGATAACAAGAATATTTTTTTATATGTTTGATTTTCCTTGTTCCCATTAACAACTGTTTCACTGTACCATGGTTGAATTAATCATTTATCAAAAAAATTATTTATATAAGAATTATATAGAGTCCTTCACTAAAATAATGTGACTGATGTGATATTGCAAAGTGAGTTTTTTTTTTTTGTTCTTTTTAAATAAGAAAAATTAGTGAAACATCTCACTCCAATTTTGGATAATAGGAGAAATCCAATATATATTCTTTTATAAGTTAAGGTCTCTCGATGAAATTTCTCTGTGAAAATTGAAATTTCTCTGTATTAGAGCAAAATTTTTCTATGAAAAATACCCCAACTACTATGAAAATATTGTATGCCCTTTATCTTTATCTTATAAAATCTTAATATTAGAGATTTAAAAAAAATCTTTTTAAATTATTGAATACTTTTAGCATAATATTATACATTACTTGTATTATGACATTTATTTGTTGTCTCGTAAAAACTAATACAATACTGATGAGTTTCACCTTGTTTATATCAACAAAAATCAAATTAGGACACCAAATTTACATGCCTCAAAAGTATTATATAATTTTCCCAATTTGTTTTGAATTATTTATTTAAATTCAATCACATTATTATTAGGTATACAATATCATATTTTCTTTTGGATATTTTTATTTTTAAGAGAAACAAAAAGACTTCCCAACAAATTTTAAGGTTATTAAAATTCTAGAAGTGGATCCAAACTCATCTTCTCCACCTGGTTTGTCAATACTAAAATCACATATATAATAATATAATGCTCTTATTTTCCCACCCCGGCTCCCACATCCAAACATAATTCATCCCATTTGTTATTTTTTGATTGAATTAACATAGGATATAATAAATTATCTTGAATGTTACATATCGTATCACTTTTCAAATCAACAGATAATGACAGATATATATATATATGATTGTAATGTCGATACTGATGCACATCTCGACATGAATTTTTCAGGTAGATAGAAGATACAACCGTTACTGTGAACAAATGCAAATGGTAGTAAACTCATTTGATTTAGTAATGGGTTATGGAGCAGCAATGCCATACACTGCCCTAGCACAGAAGGCGATGTCGAGGCACTTCCGGTGTCTGAAAGACGCCATAGCTGCACAATTGAAGCATAGTTGTGAGCTGTTGGGAGACAAAGACGCGGGCACTTCCGGAGTGACAAAAGGAGAGACTCCGCGGCTGAGACTGCTCGAGCAAAGCCTGAGACAGCAAAGAGAGTTTCATCAAATGCGAATGATTGATCAAGAAGCTTGGAGGCCCCAAAGAGGCTTGCCTGATCGATCTGTCAACATTTTGAGAGCTTGGCTTTTCGAGCACTTTCTCCACCCGTACGTTTTCGCATCCTCAACTCAAAATGAAAATTTATTTGGACTATTTTCAAAAACTATTTAGTCCTCGTTTGCTAAACTTGTTGCACCTAAAAAAAGTATAAAAAGACAAAACAGATTATATAAGTCAATAAAATAAAATATAATTTTTTATCTACAATTATTATACTTTTTTTCTTCATAAAAGTCAAAAAAAACTCCAAAATAAAAATCAAACGAGACTAAAAAAGACTCAACACAAAAAATTTGACTATTTTAGCCAATGCCAAAAACAAACACTTTTTTTGAAAAACACGAAAATTGTTATTTTTGTCACAAAAACGAAACTATATGAAAACCATGGTGTTTTTCAAAGTCTTTATCGTTTTTATGTAAAAAATATTTTTTAAAAAAATGAAAATGAGGAAAATGAAAACGATATCAAACAGGTAAAATGTCATCAGATAATTAATTCGAAAGAGTAATATCTCAATTTTTTGTGAAAGGTTAAAAGGGGGAAAAATGAGAGTTTTAAGTGAAATGTTAATGTCTTGCTCCAAAAGATTTATTTATAAAAATTAGAGTTAAATTCATTTTGCCCACCCGTGATTTGGGACTAGAGCACTTTACCTTTTTATGATTTAAATATAGGCAAAAAGTCCCATGTGATTTTGGATTAAAGTGTCACCATTAAGTTTGCCCTAATGTAATTTTAGAGGAAAGTCTTACCATTAAGTTTTTCATCCAAATTAACGGAAGGTCTGTGATACACATCATTTTTTAGAGTGGATTTGGTCTTTCTGAAAAAGTAAAGTGAAACTAATACAATAAAAAGACAATTTTATTCTAATTTTCTTCAAACCTAAAATTAGATTAATACGTTAATAAACTATGATAAAATATAATATAATATAATTAAGGATTGATCTAAAATGTAAAATATAATTAAGAATTTATTTAAAATATAATTAAATAAAATATAAAATAAATAATAATTAAAAATTGATCTAAAATATGATTAAATTAAAATTAAATTAACATATTGAAAAAAATAATAATTAATTAAGAATTTATAATTAATTGTGAAATAAAATATAATTAAATTAAAATTAGATTAAAAATAAGGAATTGCAATAAATAATTAAATATTTAGGATTAATTGTGACTTAAAATATAATTAAATTAAAATTAGAATAAAAAAGTTAAGAATTACAATAAATAATTAAAAATTTATTAGTAATGTGATTTAATTGAATTAATGTTAGGCACTATGGGAATGAGGGATACTGATGTGCCTCATGGCACAACTGTTACTGCTGCCCCCTTGTGAGAGATTGTCTTGATTGTTTTTTGATGATCTGAACCGTTCATATTGTAGTGCTCATCGAGTAGATCATCCATGCAGAAAATCAATTTGATTGGATATCTGTAGCCCTATAATCAAAACACATTTGTTTTTATAAAAATTAACAGTTAACATAACTTTCATAAATTTTTAAAAACAATTAGGGCATGATCATGGGGTTATGAATATTTGATTAACTTGATTTTTTACACGAATAATATTTTTGACAAACCATACAATATGAACGGTTCAGATCATCAAAAAATACTTAGGACAATCTCCCACAAGAGAGCAGCAGTAACTGCTGTGCCTTGAGGCACAACAATACCCCATTTCCGACACTATGTATGAGCGAGGAGAGAGAAAGAAAATAACATAAAAAAAGTATAGGATTTATGGGTATTATAATATTTTCACTTCAATAGTTTACAGTATTAACGATTGCACCTTGGTCCAAAATTATATGGAAGGTTTTTGTCTATATTTGAACGATAAGGGTAAAATGCTTTTGCCTCAAACCAAGGGGAAAAATGAATTTTACCCTAGAAATTATGTTTATGCAGTATATGAAACTTGTTTAGTTAATGCAATTCTTGTATTAATGATTATAACTGATTTTTTTTCTTCAAATATTTGTTTTCCAATGCATTTTTCACCTTAAAATAGTACGAAATTTTTAAACAAAACAAATTCAAGACATAAATCTTACTAAATCTACAAACAAACAGAGATTTAGGGCTTGTTTGGAAACAAGCTTTCTTAGTAACTTTTTAATTTTTTGGCTAAAATATGATGTAAAAAAAATTAGTATATTTATGATGACTTTTTGACTTTTTACGAAAAGATATTCAAAAAGTAGAGAGAAAAATGAATTTTTGACTTTTTGGTATTGGTTGTTGACTTTTTGACTTTTTTAGGGTTGGTTTGGAAAGTGAGTTGGCTTTTTGGCTTTTTGACTTTTTTGGCTATTTTAGCTTGGGCTAAAAAGCTTAGTTTGAGAAGGACTTTTTGGCTTTTTGGCTTTTTTGGCTTTTTTTGTGAGAGAAGAGTGTAATAATTATGGGTTGAATATGATATTTTATTTTTTGTGGCTAAAATAGCCTATTTTGTCTTTTATGGCTAAAATAGCCAAAAAAGTCCAATCTAGCTCTTCCCAAACGGAGCCTTAATAATTTTTTGACTTTTTAACTAAAAAAGTCACTTGCCAAACGAGACCTTAGGCCTCGTTTGGCAACCGAACTTTTTAGCCAAAAAGTCAAAAAGTTACTAAATTAGTCAAAAAGCCAACAACCCATACCAAAAAGTCAAAGATTCTCTTTTCTCTCTACTTTTTGCACATCTTTTCGTAAAAAACTAAAAAATCATCTCAAACATAGTAATTTTTTTTAACTCATATTTTAGTCAAATAATTAAAAAATTACTAAATTAACATGTTCCCAAACGAGACTTTAGTCACATGTTGCATTACTTTTTTCTGTCTTACTTTTATGTTTTTTAAAGTGTTTAAAGAACAGTAATGCAGTGTCCTTAGATGTTTTCTCGTCAGCTAAAAAAAACTGAAAAAGGCTTCCATAATTTGTTCTCTACACTTTTTGCTCCAAACAGAAACACAAGGAAACCAGAAAGTGTCCATAATTTTAGCATGAATATGAATGAGTGATTTAGATTTAATTCTATATAATGAGGATCATATTTAAAATGAATCTCAACAGTTAAATATTTTTGAATAAAATTTCTGAATATTTAGCATTGCTCTTCTTTGAATCCATATAACAGTCCATTAGTCCCTGACCCTTTTCGTGAGTGCATAAAAAGAACCCCATGAAAGTTGAAACTAGTTTTTCATGCAGAAACCACTTTTTTCTCTACAATACGTTTTCAAAAATTATAAAATATAATTCAAAAGTATTGTTACTTATGCAATGTTTTTGATAAGAGGTTGGTTAGTCTTAATTCCATAAAGGTTCTGGATTGGTGCAGTTTGAATATGTGGCCCAATCATGAAATGTAGTTTGATAATTTGAATAATTTATTTTATTAGTCATTTTATGTAAATTATTTATAAAAATAAATAAATTATTTAGAGTTCGTTTGAGATATGATTATTTTAGTTGTTTTTTTTTCTATAAAAAAAATATGTAAAAAAATAAAAAGAGTGATATAATTGGATGTTTTGATTTTTTAATTATTTTAGCCAAAAAGCTAACATTCCAAACATCGCCGACTAATTCGATAATTTCAACCATATGGTTTCATCATATTTATATTCAAAAAATATATGAAGAATACAATTTGAAAAAAGAAAAAAAAACAATTTAAAAAAATAAATATTGTGAAATTATTTAGTTACAATTATTAAATCAATATTTTTTTCATAATTCATAGATACTCTACACATTACAAATTGTTAAATTAATAATTTAGATCAACTAAATAGGACCTGTGATAACCCTAATTGTACCGATCACAAAGGGACTAGAAACAAATTATCCTCTATTGATAATTAAAAAATCATAAAATACATTAAGCGATCACTTTTGTCTTAACTACCTTACAAAAATTATAGGTAATATTTTCTAATACAAAGTACATGCAATAGAATCTAATGGATAGATGTTATATCAGAGAGACAGCATCGTTTGGGGGGTTGTCCTCTCTCTTAGATTATCACGCCCATGCAGAGAGAGAGAGAGAGAGGTTGAATCAATTTTCGATTCAAATCTGCAAATACATAAAGTTAGATGTCTGTTTAAATGAATATAGGTATGTACAGACCTTCATCATGTCATTTTCTTGGTGTCTGGTTTTTTCTCAGGTACCCAAGCGACGCAGATAAGCATCTCTTGTCTCGACAGACTGGCCTCTCCAGAAACCAGGTTCGTCCTCCATCTCTCTTACATCCCTCATATAATACAACAGAGAGAGAGAGAGAGAGAGAGAGAGAGAGAGAGATCTTTTATGGCTACTGAGCTTATTCACTAACAGTGATGAAGCAATGAAGCATAGGCCTATTTTGGTAATGCGGTTTAAATTAATTTTTGACTTTTTAAAATTATATAATTTTTTATTTTTTTTACTTGTTTTTTTTTTTAAAATTAATAAATTAAATTTTAATTTACTTTTCAAAATAAGCTATAGAAGTTGATGAGAAAAAACTTGGAGCTAATTAAGGGTTGATTTGGGATATGAGTTGATTTTTAATTTTGAGCAATGCTAGGTATCATGAAAAAATTTTCATGAAAATGATCATGAAAAATTTATGACTTTTAGATTACACTTAAAATAAAGCACCACACACTAATCAAGGTAATCTAAGAGTCATAAATTTTTCATGACCAGTTTCATGAAAGCTTTTTCATGATCCCTATCTTTTCTCTTTAATTTTTTAACCATTTTAGCGGAGTTGGAGTTGCATGGTTTGGGTTATATTAGTATTATATTTCTTCTGGTTTTTTTTTTTTAAAAAAAACTGTATATGGTTTAATTCCGGGAAAAAAGACTGAATGAGAAGCTCTGCGGGTAATAAGAGCAGAGACAAAGTACAGAAGAGATGAGAGACATGAGAGTTTGCCATCTCTCTCTCTCTCTCTCTCTCTCTCTCGCTCTCGCCCTCGCCCTCTCTTCTATCCAAGTTCCAACCACACAATGAGCACCCATTAAATACCACATCCAGAAGGAAAATAATTCAGAAATTCACCTTTTATATTCATTTTTAAGATTCAATTATTGATGGAAAATTAAAAAAAAATATAAGAAATAGTTGTTAGCGATCAAATTATAATGGGCTATTTTAAGGTACATTAGACAAAATAATATTATCATAATTAATGAATTAATGTAATTTTTTAAATAGATAATTTATACATAAAAAATTATAAAATAGACCGATCGAATTATAGTATGGCTGTAGTAATCTATCAAGGTGGGCGGGAAACAAGTCATTTCTAAAACATCTAAAATTTGAAATTATAATGTAAGTTTAAATTTGAAAAAATTAGCGAAACATCACTTTATAATTTTGTGTAGTAAGAGAGGTTCAAAATATTTTTTTTTATTAGTTAAAGGTCCCTTAACACTTTCACAGAGAAAATTTGATTCAAAGAAATTTGTCCTAACTTAGAGAAATTTCGATCCCAACTCAGAAAATTTCAATTTTCACAAAATTTTTTCTGAGTTTGACAAAATTTCTCTGAATTAAATTTTCTCTATAAAAATGTTGAGTAACCTTAACTACTATGAAAATATTATATGTTATTTATCGTTAAAAAACAATCCCCTTTAAATTTTGTATGATGTGGATCAAACTCAAGTCATTTATTACATCTACATTAAGTTTTTCAGTAAATTAAAATCTGAATCATGTTATAAAAACAAATAAATTTTATTAAAAAATTATTTACTGATACCACACTTATTATTATAGGCTTTTGTTAACATGTGTCAATGCATTAAATGAATATAATTATTCCAATTTGTATAGAAAATATGATTTTTTTTAAATAAAAAAAACTATTAGGATTAATGATTTTTTTTACATAGAGACCAAAATACCCTCCTTATATTTCTCTCAATTTCATTCATTAATTTGGCTTCTATCAATTTATTTTATTATATATATATATATATATTAATTCACAACATATACAATCAAAGAATTTTTTCAAGTTTAATGAGCTTCTAAATAAAGAAAGCAATATTATTTTATGTGATTTATAAATTTATTTTTTATTTATAATGAAATATTAATTTTTTTTTATTTTTTTATTTAAGAGGGTACTATCATTTTATTTTGTTATATATATATTTTTTTATAAATAAGTTAATTTCGTTATTTCAAATGTGAGGACATTTTCGTGTATGTACAAAAATATCTGAGTTTTTAAAAATCATTACATTTATTTCTATTTATGTTTTACATTCTCTCATACAAGTGAAGGTAGTTAAGATAATTAAACACATTCTTAACATGTGTCCTGACGGCAAGGACGAAACCAGACTTTTGAGGGAGGGAGGCCATTAAATAGGGATACGGATTTACCGTGGTGCTAAATTAATGCTCCAGACAACATCGATTAAAAATAAAAAGATTCAATGTAGTAGTGAATAATGCAAATCTTAAAACAAAAACAAGAAATACTCAATGATATAAGAATCTAGTAACAATGAAAAAGACCATGGTACACACTCTCCTCTCCTATGATAAAAAATAAAAAAAAATTGAGATTTTTTGTGATATTAGTTACAATTATATTTAGGGCGCATTATAAAAAAATCTTAATTATAGACCCTTGTGGTTATATATAAATATTAAAGCATTACGTACTATTATGATGAGAAAAGTTACGAACCATTCAAATTTTATCACGAATCAATATAGTAAAATTACAAAAAGTAATATTTCTTTTAGGGATGTATGTTATAACGTTTCCCTAACAATGAATTTTAAAAATATATAATTAACTCCACATTGTTGATTAACTAGAATAAAAAAATATATAATCAATTAAGATAAATTGATTGATTACAAGATATTTTAATATAAAAGAATATTCCATCCTAAATTAGTATTCTAAGTCCAACTAATGAATAAAGGAAGAGAACAAGCAAAGAGTTCTTTGATTTGAGATAGGAAAAAGAGTCTATAGATGTTCGACGGGGAGGGGCCAAATAAGTACAAAATGGAAAGCACATGCTATTTGCAAATACTAATAGGAGTACGTTCAAGTGGGCCATGGCCCCTCACTGTCGCTTTTATGGTCTGAGGGTACAGGTTAACTAGACTTACTATTATATTACTACCAAGGATCCTCTAGAGTGAAATTTCTCTAACGTTTCCTAGAGTGCTACATTGTGTGGTTGAGATTTATTGGCAAGTCACATCAGAAAAATTGATGTGACTTGCCAGTAAATCTCAACCACACAATGTAGCACTCTAGGAAACTTTAGGAAAAAATCACTCTAGAGGATCCTTGCTCTTATATTACTATTAAAAAAGAGTTTGTTTTGTTTTTTAAAATTTTATGCTGTTGAGTATGTTTCAGGTATCAAACTGGTTCATTAATGCAAGGGTTCGGTTGTGGAAACCCATGGTAGAAGACATGTACCAACAAGAGACCAAAGAAGAAGAAGAGTCAGGAGAAGAAGAGGGACAAATCAACCACAGCAGCATCACTGGTGGCCTTGCGCAAACACCAACGCCTCCTCCTATCTCCACCACCACCACCACCACCACCTCTACCTCCACATTATCTCCATCAGTCAAGAGATCCCAAATCAATGCACTTGACAGCGACACTTCACTCCTCGCAATCAATACACAATGCTTCTCGGAAAACCAAGCAAAACAACCCAATTTCAACACCACCATCTCTGCCACCACCACCGCCATAGCGCCACTGGTGGTCCAATCGTTTACGACCTCCCACGAAGCCGATACTTGCCGACGTGGCAGCATGGTGGGGTCCCATTATCGAACTAATACTGCTATTGCTACTGCTACCACACTTACTGGAAATGGTGACATGGGATCGACACAGATTAGGTTTGGGCCCACCGGAGGTGACGTGTCGCTCACTTTAGGGCTTCGCCATGCCGGAAACGTGCCAGAGAAGAGTCCTTTCTCGGTGAGAGATTTTGGGGCTTGTTAAATTATATACTAAAATATACCCATAAAAAAAAGTGCTTCCGAGAATTAAAAACATAATTTGGTACCTCTGATTCACTTTGATTAGTCCGTTTTTTTCTTTAATGTGTTCAATTCTATTTTAAGAGAGAAAGAAAACTACATCATGAGAAAGTAGGGCATTACGTTAGCTAGCAGTACGAGGACTGTTGTCATTGTATAGTACACTGTTTTTGTCTTTCTTTATCTACTTATATAATTTTTTTTTTGTACTTAATTATCTCTAAAATAATTTATAAATATTGGGACAAAAATTATGCAAAAAGAAAATGCATGAGACCCCAGTGCAAATCTGGGTCCCTTTTGATTGGTTCAAAATTTTTTTTTTTTTTATCTTCCATTGGCCGGCCCCCACGTGGAGGGGGGGTTGATGCTGGGGTCACCGCACTGGGGTCCCCGTATGCAAAAATATAAGCCTCTGTTTGGAAAGTGGGTTGGTTTTTTGGCTTTTTGGCATTTTTGGCTATTTTAACCTGGGCTAAAAAGTTTGGTTTGGGAAGGGCTTTTTGGCTTTTTAGCTTTTTTGACTTTTTTTGTGAGAGAAGAATGTAATGATTATAGGTTGGATGTGATATTTTGTTTGTTATGGCTAAAATAGCCTATTTTATTTTTTGTGACTAAAATAACCAAAAAAACCTGAAAAGCCCTTGCCAAACACAAGCTTAATTTGTGTTTTTATAGTTGTACAACCCTGGAATAATAGATACTCCTACAAATATTTGTTAAGATTCCACTTTTTGCCAGCTGAGGAACAGTAGTGAGAGGAGTTATGAGCTGCGAACTGAAATCAGTTATCATGGTCTTCTTTGGTCTACCTGTTAAAATTGATTATAAATTATAACTTAATAGATTATAAATTAAAAATTGTTAATCTGTTTGGTATAATTATTAAATTATAAATTTAAGTTGTTGAGTAGCATTTGTTAAATAAGTTGTGAAATAATTTTTTCAATTAACTTTTATTTTTTTGTTATTCACTACTTGTCTACATTTATCATAAAAAATAATAATAATAATCTATAGTCAATTGAGATCTTTTTCTATTTTTTTAAAAAATAAAAAAATCTAAGAATATAATCGTAAATTAACATGTCCACAGAAAAAACTGATAATCAGAAGCAAGAGATGAGCAGCTTCTCAAAATTACTTTTTTTGAGTTAAAATAAATTGTTAGAATAAAAAACTATTTGAAATAAATTTAACCAGACAATCTAAAATAACTTTTCAAAAACTAAAAGCTATATGTTAGCTCAAAAAAGTTCAATCAAACACTTCCGAAATGAGCGGCTAGTCTTTGTAATCGTGGTTGAATAGTAAAATCCTAGAGAAAGTGGTAATTATTAGAAAAATAATATATAAGTTTATTTTTTAAACTAATTTTCTAAAATGATATGATTGACTCATAATTAAAAAGGATAGGAAAGAATCAATAAATTATATATATATATATATATGAAAGATAAAATTTCTTTAAATATTTTAATAAATTATCATATTATTAAATTTAAAAAATAATTAATTGTTATGTCATTACATATATGTAGCCACAAAGAAACGGTCCAAGAAATTTTGAGACCTCATACTCAACTTATTTTTTTACTAGGTCTTTTTATAATTAGGACCCTTTTAGAAATATTTTGGTAGACCTTAGAGAATGGGCTGAGGAAGGACTTGCATAAAATTATGTTAGAAATAAAAAACAAGTGTCATCATTACTGAGCATATTAGGGTGTAACTAATTCTATTTAGGATGACATTCTACATCCCACTTTGCTCATAAATAAATTTAAGAAATATTTATAATACTCCACTCATCTTACAAATATTATTCATAAAGAACAATATTCTTATCTCTTTGCTTATATATATATATAGCTCTGGTAGGTTAGCTATGTTACATGATAAGTGACGCCACATGACATTTACTTAAAACCCAAAACAATTGTAGGCAAAGCAACAATTACCATGTACCAACTACTATATATATATGTTGCTTTCTATATAGTTGAGGAACCAAACAAACAACATATAATCGACCAATAATAGGATGTCCAGTGAGTTTGGTTTACAAGTTGTTGCGCTGCTACAGTCAACCTCATGAGGTTTCCTTTTATCTTGATTAGTGATACTTAGTGTCAGTGATGATGTGATATTACTATAATACTGAATTTTTACTCACATAATCGTATTATATAGGGCGGGACTTATGTCATGTTATGATTGTGTCCGGTTACATCATTCATCATCTCCTTTGATATATGGTTCATCATCTATCAAATTGTTGTTAAAATTGAAAGAAGGATTCCTTCGAAAATGAGTCTTTCCGCCTTCCCCCTCAGAAATAAAATATATATACATGTATATATATATATATATATCTTTTTTGGTTTTTATTGTTCCTATCTGTATTCATATTTGATGTTTTTTGGTATCAACTAACGGGCAAATGTAATTCAACCCCATGTTTCAAGATTAACGCTATGTTTGGATTGAGTGATTTGGAGAGAAGAAAAAAGAAATTAAGAGATATGTATTTCTATTATTTGTTTGGATAACTTAAGTGGAGAGAAATGAGGAAAAATTGGGAGAAACGGAGTGAAACAGAAAGAAACTTATTTCTCTTATAAGCCTCATTTTCAATCTTTCCAAAAGTGGAGAGATTGGGAGAGAAAAGAAACCAATATTTTCATAATATCAATTTTGTCCTTGTAAAAATAAAAGAAATAAAATGATTGAAAATATAAAAATGTTATTTTGGTAATATAACATAAAATAATTTATTTTCTTTTCTCTTATGAAATCTAATCAAACAAGAATGCGAGAAATCATAATCATTTCTTTTCTTTTCTTTTATTTCTTACTTATCCAAATAAGAATGAGAGAAGTCACAATCATTTTTTTTTCCTTTTCTTTTCTCTTATAACTTAAATAATCATTTCTTTTCTTTTCTCTCCTACATTTCCAAACCTAGTGTAAGGGACTTAATTTGATGTATGATCCTCACCGTAATTTAACGCTCGTTAGGGTTCTTAAATTCTTTTGTTGGGTCTCTTTCTAAGATCCATTACTCTATTGAAATGTCACCTTTCGACCTTTCATTTCAAATTCCGACTTAACTATTCAGAAATTATTCATAATTATCATTTTGTGATTCAGATTTATTTTATACATAGACCCCACACTCAGGGACGAAACTAGGAGAAGATTATGGGGGCCATGGCCCACGTTTCTGTGAAAAATAAGATTTGTTATGGCATTTCAAAAATCAACAATGCTACAAACCTCCAAAAAACACAACCTCCACAACCCCACTCACCTGTGATTGGTCCAAGAGGAAAGGAAAAAAAAATAAAAAAAACATAAACGCATGATTGGTCCATATCATTTTGGGGGTCCCAAGCATTTTTGTTCAAAAATATATATTTCATTTTATACATGAAAGAACCCCAGTATAAAAAATACATATCTCATTCTTATCCCATCTTGTATTCTCTTTTTATTTTGCACCAAAAATCTCATTCTTATCCTATCTTGTATTCTCTTTTTATTTTGCACCAAAAAAACTTTTTTATCTGATTAGAAATTGCTTCTATGGTATTTGAATTTTTTTATGTGTATAGATATAATTTACATATCATATTGTACATACGTGTATGCTTATGTATATGGTAAAAAAAATTTATTTGTCTTTTGACCCCTTGATGATGAAATCCTAGTTTCGTCCCTGCCCACGCCACACAAATTCAATCACAAGTACACAATTTTATTCGGGATAAATTGGGGATATATAAGGGTGGGCTGATAGAATGCAAAATCATAACAAGATCATTGCAAATAAAAAGTGAAAGTAAATTACACTTTTGTTTTACATTTGTTATTTTATTTTTATAGTTTTAATTGATTCAATTTTGAGCTTTAATTTAAGATTTTGTGTTAATTTGACCTAATTGATAACGTTGTTAGGGCTTTTGACAAAATATGATTACTAAGTTAGTTGAGATTAAGTCACTGAATTAATCAAGTTTATAATTTTCTCCCTAGAAGTAGGATGCATGACATTCATCATACATTTATCATAAAAAATGCTATCAATTGACATTAATTAGATCAATTTGAAACAAAAAAATAAAATAAAAATTCACGAACAATTGAAATTACAGAGTCCAAAATAATACTTGAGTCAAATATTAAAAACATTGAATAAGTTTTTTAGTATTGCAAAATATAAAATAAAAAAATAAAAAAATTAAATGATCGAATTAAACAATCTTTTCATATGGGATGAGATTCATGAGTCCGGATCCTCTGTCATGGGCGTCGCTTTAGTTATTTATTTATTTTTCTCCTTCCCCTTTTCTTTCTCTCTCATTTGCTTGAACCCTAACACATTGAGAGAAGTAGAAGTGAAACAAAGTGGTAGGCGCAAACAAGGCGAGTCAACTATGACTGAGGCAGTGGCAAGGTCCTGCAATATTCATTCTCACATGGTATTGCTGATTGCTAGCCATCTCAAGCAACAAAATCAAAGGAAATTCAAAAACCATTTTAGTTCTTCACTCATTGAATCACATTGATTTGTCAAACAACAAAATGATTGCTTTTTTGGTCAAGTCATCCGTTCGTTGCTGTTGATCCAGATTCATGGTCTCATGGGACACATTTTTTAACTTTCAAAGGGTTTTTGTGTGTGTGTGTGTTTGTGTGTTCTCTTAGTGGATTACATTCTTGGGTTTATATCAGCATCAGTGAACCCCCATTTTGATTGATTAGCCGATCATTAAGTTTCATTTGATGCTTCAAGCCTGATCTAACCAAGCCAAATAATTTGATTTTAGATTGTTTGTATCAAACCCCATAAATGTGACCAGGTTAAAGGATGGAGACGGCAGCGAAAAGTTTGATTCAAAGATTTGTCATTGAATTTCATTTTGAATATCAATCAAGAAAGGAAAATAAACCCATGAGGGTTCAAGAGAGAGAAAGCCGAAACAATTTTGAAAAGTATGGTATTTGTAGAGAGAGAAACAAAGAGGTTTGTAGAGAGAGAAAATGAAGGGGACAAACAGGGAAATATGAGACGGTTTAGGAGTGTTTATGTGGTGTGATGAGGAGAGGATAAAATATATGAGTTCAGATCATCGTCCATCGCTGTTGCTTTGCCTTGTTGCCGTTGCCGCCTGGCTTCGTCTCGTCGTCATCTCTGTGACCTCGTCTTGT